GCTGTGTGAGAGCTATGGCGACAGTGCCCTGGCGTAGCCTAGCCCTTGAGTGGGTAGGGAGTGCTTCGCACTCTTACGCCATGGCATCCTGGCAGCTCCTTATCGGACCTCCATACCAACCTACACACCTCACAAGACCTTGATACCAGAGGAGCCGCCTTCCCCTCAAGCCATCTGCTGGAAAGGGGGGTTCCTTTCTCACCATCTAAAGGCTGCGCGCTGTACTTCACGACACGTCATCCTGACTGCCTCGATCAATAGGAAAGCATGGAAGGCGGAGCGGCGTACCTGGACGCAGTGGGAGAGCGTGCGGCTGCGGTGGCAGCGCTCCGGCATTTTCAAGGGCTGCAGGAAGTCTTGTTTGACTTACCTTCTTCGCAAGGCAGTATGATGTTCATTTAATTCATGGTCTGAGTTCTCAATTAATTTGGTTTGCGGCTGCAGCAAATCTCGTTTGATTTACCTTCGTCACAAGGCAGTATGACGCTCACTTACTTCATGTTCTGAGTTTTCATTTAATTTGGTTTGCGGTGGTTTAGGGTGAAGCTCACGGGGTTGGGATGATACGAGAGACCCGGTGAAGAGCAAACTAGAGTTGTATCCATTGGGTGCGTGGTGGGAAACCCGTCAAGGCAACAAAGGCTCTTTACAGTGTTTTGGTCAGCGTTGATGTGTGGGTCACCCTAATGCTTATTCTTCCTTCCCACCTTTTAGCCATTGAGTTTGTTCCATTAGGGTTGTCTACGTAGTGGATTCTTGGAACTGTTTTTGTTGTTGGTATTGATGGCGATGTTGGGGGATTAAGATATCTTAGAGTTTTGGGTTGAGTGTAGCAATCGTTTCTATTGTCTGACGTCTTGTAGATTTTTTGAATTTTGTTTGGGTATTTCACGTTTTTGGGATCGCCTCTGTTGTTGGTGACTTTCTCAGTGTATTCTGCCTATCGGGACATATTGAAGTTTATTTCCCAAAAGTGGTCGCTCTTCAAGCGTAGGAAACAGTATTGCAGGGTCACCCAAGCCTTGAGTGGTGCGGGGAGTGTTCTACGCTCGACCTATGGTCATCTTGGGAATTCCTGCACTAATTTTACCACTTACATATCTATGGCAGTATCTGGGAAATTAATATGATGAAGAGATGAGTTCTCTGCTGGGTCTGTAAATCCCCGAAGCCCTATGGGTGGCGGTGCCATTAGTGGGAGTGGGAGACTTACTGGTGGCGGTGGGAAAGGTTCCCGGGCACAAAGGGTAAAGTAATCCCTAGCCATAATCGCGATCAGAGTTACAGTGTTGTTTAGTTTTAAGAATGGCTTACCTCTAAGATTAGGAAGAGTGACACAGGGTCACCCATGCCTTGAGTAGTGTGGTGTTGCATGCTGCACCTGCACACGGGCCCCATTTGAGGGGCCCGACGGTTGCTGATGGCCCCCCAGACAGCGAACCATACAGCACGCGCCCTGGAGGCCTACGGCGGCCCTTCAGGCCCTAGGTAGCACACTAGTTAGAATAGGTTTAGTTTACTTACCTTTCTGTGTGTGTGTGCTGTCTTACTTTGTCTGTCAGGTGCCGTTTTGGACTTGCAGCCCCAAGGCCGGACCTTGGGACTGGGTACACCGGAGGCAGGCCCGAAACGAGGCCAGGCACATTTTGGCGCCAAACCAGTAGGTACAGGCGTCGTTTCGGTCCTGCAGGTCCCAAGGCGACGCCTTGGGCTAGGTGCACAGGTACCGGGCCGTTTTTAGGCCGGGCGCATTTCTGGGCCTTGCTGCATCAGCAGCGCGGTCTGGACGTCCGGTAGGGACCCAGACCAGCTGGGCCGTTTTCTGAAGCCAGCATCAGGTAGGCCCAGCCGGCCCAGCACTACAAATAGCTGGGCAGCGGCTGGGCAGGGACAGTTCGAGTAGCTCACTTCTGGAGCGACACGCTGCCGGTTGAAGCAGCGCTATTCTGCGTCAAGCTACGAAGTAGGGAGTAGCGGAGTAGGTAATGGAGAGAGGCAGAGGCCTTACCTGCAAGCGGCGAACTTACCTGGCGCCATAGCCGGGCTCCGCGCGGTACCTGCACACGACAATGACCACAGTCAGTACGGTGACAGCTACCTGCAGGTGAGATAGCAAGGAGGACGTCATCTTCTTCTTCCTCCTCCTCCATCTCTCTTTCTCTCCTTCCTCCCTCTTCCTCCTCTTTCTTACCTTCTTCTTCATCTATGAGAGTGAGAGAAATTATAAGTAGGAGAAACAGGCAGAGGTTATGTTGGGCACATTGCCCAGGATCTGATTCGACATTTTTGGGACCGACATTGATTGGACACTCGGCAAGGGACTATTTTTGGGACTTTGCTATCGCGATCTTGGTCTACTCCCTCACCTCCTTTTCCTTCGTCTCGTCCCTCCCCCCCCATCTCTCATTCGTGGCATCTCCCCATGTGTGTGTGTGAAGGAGGGACCTTTCGTCTGTGATTGCGGTCCCTCCTCCCCTCTCACATGTGTGATGTATGATGGATGTCGGGTCAGTCCAGATCAGATCAGATCTTCTCTTTAAAGATTTNTCTGTGATTGCGGTCCCTCCTCCCCTCTCACATGTGTGATGTATGATGGATGTCGGGTCAGTCCAGATCAGATCAGATCTTCTCTTTAAAGATTTCCGCTGCGCCACTTTGTGTCATCTTGTATGTATCGGAATGTACATTGCTTGTTGATGCTATGCTGATCTTGCATTGTGCATTTCAGTCCTTTTCATCATATTAAGGATCCTTGGCTCCCCACGCATTGTCCCATTGGGCATGCGTCAGTTTGGTATCGGAGCCCCGCTTGTGAATCAGGACAACCTGATCCGGCACAAGTGCGGGGACAATAAAAAATTGATTGATTGATTGATTGATTGATTGATTGATTGATTAACCATTGATTGATTGATTGATTGATTGATTGATTGATTGATTGATTGATTGTTTGATTGATTGATTGATTGATTGATCATTGATTGATTGATTGATTGATTAGTTTACACTAATTAGTCCCCAAGAGCGCGGATTTTGACCTAACTGCCGAAATCGATTTTTTTTATTTTTATTTTTTTATTTTTCCGCTATTTTCATTCGTGGAAAATCGCAATAGCGTAGCATCTGAAAGTTTTGTTTTTTTCTTTTATGAAATTCGAAATTCTGGTGCTGGAGGTTCGAAAATATTACGAATTTCTTTTCGATTCATCTTTTCCTTTGCAAATTCCCGTTAATTCGAAATTTCGAATTTTTTTTCTGAAATTCATTATGTCGAACTTATTCTCAAAAAATTTTGTTGTGTTTTTTATTCACGCATTCCGGGGGTAATAAAATTTTTGAAATTTGACCGTTATTCCCAGATTCGCAAAATTATTTTTTACGGGAAAATTCCTCCATAGTCATTTATTTTCAAACTGCGCATACTCTCACTTGAGAAATTTCGAATTTTTTTATGTTTTGGAATTCTCCAAACTTGCGGAATTTTTTATTTTCGCAGTTCAGTTATTGTGATCATCTCCATTCGCTATTATTTTTCTTGGCAGTCTGAAATTCGAAATTTTTTCGAATTACCTGTTGTGGGGAACATAGGAGACCTACCGAACTTGCAATCGAGAAATTTGATTAATTAATAATTATTTAATACATTTTTATTTATTTTCTCGAAATTTTTGCAAAGTTCCAACTTTTTATTTTTGATTAGTGGCTCCTTATCTGGGCGATTCACTCGATTTCCCCACTCCCACCTCTCCCTCCCAACTCCTTCTCCTCTTCTTATTGCTCAACTGCCCATCAATTTTGGCTACAGCCTTGCTAAGTCCCTATTTTTTGAAGGCCACGTCAGCTACCCGCGGCACATGACCCTGCTCACTCGTTCACAGACAGCAGGGATGGATCAGAAAGCCAACGAGACTGACGAGGCCTATGAGGCACGTTTGGCGGCCATCATGGCCGAAAGCAAGCAATGGGTAGAAGCATCAGCAGCAGCACGGAAGAAGAGGGAGGCAAAGGCAGAGAGGCTGCGTCAGATCGCCGAAGACCAACGACAGAAGCACGCAGCAGCAGCAGCAAAGGCCGCCGATGAAGAACGAGTACGGCGTCGGGAGATTCTCTTCAGGGAGGAAACTATGTTACACGCACAGGCGAGGGATTGGCAGAAGGGGGCCGAGAATGGAGACTATGTTGACTACGGGACCAGGATTGCTCTCCTGCTCAACTGCGTCACGAACCTCCTCGCTACTTGCGTCGCACAGCAGGAGGACATTCACTCTCTCGACCAGCCAATCAGGCGCTGACTAAGCGCATACAGCAGCTGGAGCAGCGACCAGCCGCCACCTCCAGCGCCGTCCCTTTCGACCTCGTCGACCGCGTCAACGTCTTGGAGATAGACGTGGGAATGCTCAAGACCGAGACACAACGACTGGACCAGCAGGTTGGGGCAACAGCCACACTGAGCTCAGCACCTCATGAGAGCATCCCCAAATTTGAGGGGCTCCCGATCTTCTGTGATGCATCGAAGACGGAGCCTATACCTTGGTGGTGCCAGTTCGAATTAAAGTTGGACATCCACCATGTCGTCCACACAAACCGGCATGCATACTTGTACTCTCGGTTAGGAGGTGCATGCCAAGCATGGCTGGACAACATGTTGTCCGCACATGCATGCACAGTCTACACAACTTCATCACATGGGCCGATCTTACGGCGGCATGGAAGAAACGTTTCCAAGTGGAACCGCCCGAGCATCAGGCGATGGACAAGCTGCTGACATTCTCACAGAACAGCATGCCAAGTGGAGACTGGATATCTGAGTTCCAACGTCTGGCAAGCACGCCCAAGCTGTCACTGAACTTCGACGGCATCAAGCTCTACTTCATCAAAAGGTCGTGCCTAGCGTTGCAAAATGCGTTAACTCAGGTCACTGAGAACCTCAACACAAGTGAGGAACTCTTCAACAAGGTCGCGCAGATCATTGTGACGAACTTGGAAGCCAAGAACATTGGTTGTTCGTCGACAACCAGCCAGGGCGCGTATCAGAATCAGCCGAAAGTGTTCGTGGTCGCGGCAGCAACGCCAAACGACCCTTCAACTTCAAACGAGGCTGCCTCTTCTGCCGAGGGAGACAGATTAGCAGCTGCCCAGAATGGTGGCCGCCCCGCCAAAGGACGAGGGCGCGACAAAACGAAGACAAACACCACTTCTTCTGGGCCCGGACAAGTGGCTCCAGCTCAAGAACCTTGGACACAATACGGTATGACGGAGCGCGGATATCGCGTCTGCAGCAAGTACCGTTATTGTTTGTGGTGCAACTGCACGGCACATGAGACCGTGAACTATCCCACGAAAGCCAAGGGCCCCGGCCAGTCGGGAAAGTGAGCACCGCCGAGAGTGATGCGACGACACTCTCGACGCCTTCGGAACCGGTTGCCCCACGGGTAACCTCCCTCGGTTTCGGGGCACATGTGGAAGTCGTAAGTCCTCCCATTCTTTATTCTTTCGAGGACTATGCTGCCCGGCTCGTACCTTCGTTAAATTCACGAGCCCAAGGACATGATGTATGTGCGGTTTCTTCTCCGATCGGAAGCAGCAACATTGAGTCGTCTTCAAGTGGACCTTCATGGGATTCGGTGCGCGCATTCAACATAAAGGACTTGGACCCGTTGACGCCCGAGGATTTTGCATGGCTCCCTCCCCCTTCCACCGGCTGCTTACCAGAGCCGCAATGCGCAGCTCTTAGCGCTCATCTACATACATACCTAGCCTTCTATGCACCACCAACTTCGCCAACGGAGAACGAAGTCGCAGTAAGGGACATTCTCGCGTACGTTAGCAAGGTGGCCCACGAGTTTCGCATGCAGCTGTACGACGACAACAACGCACCGCTCCTTTATGATTGCATCCAAGTCGGGCAAGCGTCCTGCAGCACTTTGCTGGATAGCGGCGCGACTCGCAATTTCATTAGTCAGTCCTTTATGCGAAGGGCCGACCTTGGCCCACAAGTTCGAAGGAAAGCACACCCTACGACGATCAAGTTGGCGGACGGTCGGACGCAACAGCTCCTTGACCGCTACATCGAGGCCGTACCGGTCTATTTCGCACCTCATGCATGCGAACCGGTGACTTTTGACGTCTTGGACATGGACTTCGACATCATTTTGGGCATGCCTTGGCTTGCAAGTGCGGATCACACGGTCAACTTCCATCGGCGGACACTTACATTCCGCGACGCGTTTGGCGCCGAAGTACTATGTACCATCCCTCTTCCGCACCCTTCGATCCGATGCCAAGTTGTAACAACCAAATATTTTCGAGCCACTTGCGCTTACGAGCAGACCAACGAGATAGGCCTATGTTTTCTTCGCACCGCTGCAACCGAATCTCAACCCACATACTTGTCTTCGGACCCCGTGTGGTACGGTTGCTTGACGAATTCGTCGACATCTTCGAGTCACCTACCGACGTGGTGCCGGATCGGCCGATCTCCCACGAGGTCATTCTCGAGGCCGGTGTCGTGTCGCCGAAAGGTTGCATCTATCGCATGAGCGAGGAGGAACTTACAGTACTCCGCGCGCAGCTCAACGATTTGTTGGACAAAGGATGGATCCGGCCTAGTAGCTCACCCTATGGTGCGCTGGTTCTCTTCGTGCGGAAGAAGAACAAGGATCTTCGCCTATGCATCGATTACCGCAAGCTCAATGCACAAACCGTCAAGAACGCGGGACCTCTTCCTCGTATTGACGACCTTCTGGAGCGTTTGGACGACGCAAAGTTTTTTTCCAAACTGAATTCGAAGTCGGGGTATCATCAGATTTCGATACGCCCGCAAGATTGCTACAAAACCGCGTTTAAGACACGGTACGAGCATTTTGAGTGGATCATCATGCCTTTCGGACTCACCAATGCCCAGGTGACTTTTCAAGCGGCGATGACCAACGAGTTCCGTGCAATGCTAGACCGGTTTGTGCTGGTCTACTTGGACGACATCCTCGTCTATAGTCGGACATTGGAGGAACATCTCGAGCATCTTCGACAAGTGTTGGAGACATTCCGTCGCGCCAAGTACAAAGCCAACCGCGACAAGTGTGAATTCGTACGTCAAGAGTTGGAATACTTGGGCCATTTCGTCATTCCTCAAGGCATCAGTCCGTTGTTGGACAAGATTCAAATCACCCAAGATTGGCCAGAGCCGCGGAACGTCACGGATGTCCGTTCGGTCCTTGGTCTTGCCGGCTACTACCAACGTTTCATCAAAGGGTACTCGAAGATCGCAGCCCACTTATCCAAGCTTCAATGCGAGGACCGACCATTTGACTTTGGGACGGATGCGCGGGAATCATTTTTGGCCCTTAAGGCCACATTGCTATCAGCGGAAGTCTTGCGAATATACGACCCTCTATTGCCAATGCGCGTCACTACAGATGTGTTCAGCTATGGCATTGGTGCCATCCTCGAACAACATGATGGCGTGGACGGGCACCCGGTCAAATACTTCACCAAGAAAGTGTCGGTCGTGCATTCAATCGATGATGCACGCAAGAAGGAACTTCTCGCCTTCGTCCACGCACTCAAGCGGTGGCAGCACTTCCTCCTTGGTCGACGCCAATTCCGATGGGTAATGGACAACAATCCGTTGGTCTTTTACAAGACCCAAGACACCGTCAATAGCACGATTACCCGTTGGATGACTTTCATCGACCAGTTCGACTTCTTTCCCGATCATATTCCAGGGAAGTCAAACCGTTTTGCGGATGCTCTTTCACAACGTTTGGATTACTGCAACGCCGTCTACTCGACCTTCGAGATAGAGGATGACTTGCGGGACAAATTCATCCGCGACTATCAAGCCGACCCCGAATTTCGCGACAAGGACGCAAATTGTTCCTCTCCCAATCCGGCGCCTTCGCACTATCGGATCCAAGAGGGATACTTGCTCGTTCACTCGCAGGGGAAGGATCTACTTTGTGTGCCGCAAGATTCACACTTGCGCACGAGGCTTCTTGGCGAGTTCCACGACGCCCCCGCCACCGGACACTTTTGAGTCAATTGTATGATTGACCGACTCCGCGAGCGCTTTTGGTGGCCCGGTTATCTCGACGACGTCACGCGCTATTGTGAGGCATGCGAGGTTTGCCGACGTTGCAAATCCCACAATCATCGTTCGTACAGCGAACTGTGACCATTACCAGTCCCCTTGCGCCGAAGGGAAGCGATTGCCATGGACATTACCGGGCCGTTCCCCAAGCACAAGACGGGTGTGGATGGGATTCTCACGGTGGTTGACAGACTCACCAAGTTTGCCATGTTCTTGCCTTGTCGCTACCACGCCAAGGCACCGGAGTTGGCCGAGGTTCTTTATGCTGGTTGGATTCAAACCAAGGGTCACCCCAAGGAGATCTTCCGCGACCGCGACACTCGGTTCATGTCCGATTTTTAGTTGGCGCTCATCAAATGATGGGGCTCATCCCTCAAGCCGAGTTCGGCTCGTCACCCTCAAACCGATGGCCAAACGGAGAGGGCACATCAGACGACACAGGTCCTTCTTCACACTCTCATCCGTCCCGACCAAAAGGATTGGGTCGAGCGGCTGCCGGATATCGAGTTGGCATACAACTCGTCCATCCATCCGGCTATCGGGATGTCGCCCTTTGAGTTCGAGTATGGCTCGTCGGTCAATTTTCATTGGACACAATCATCCCACGGGCGACCGAGAGTGACGACCATCTTCTCTTCATTCGTCGGATGCAAGAGCTTCTTGTCAAGGCACGCGACCAGATGTCAAAGACGCAGCAACGCATGCGCCAACAGGCCAACCGCCAGCGTCTTCCTTGTTCGTTCCGCGCTGGTGACCTCGTATGGGTTTCCGCTGCGGAATTCAGCCTCGAACAAGATCTCTCTCACAAGCTCCTTCCGAAATGGATGGGGCCCTGGCCGATCGTGGCACCCACTGGGGATGCACCCGAAGGACCTTCGTTTATCATTCAGGTGCCCGCCCACTTGTCCGTCAACCCGGTCTTTCACTGTTCCAAGTTGGCTCTCTACACGCCAGCGGAACTTGACGACTTTCCCGGGTGATGATCGCAAGACCCACCCTCGATGGACAGTTTCCAAGAGGTTGGCGACATCATATCCTAGCGACGTTACGGCAACAGGCCGACTGAATTCTTGATCCATTTTGCATATTGCACCCATAGAGCTGACAGATGGTTGAACCGTGTAGAACTTCAAGCAACAGCTCCCGACGTCCTCGCACGCTACTAATGCAAGTTGCAAGGCAAGCCGGCATCTTCGGCTCCACGCCGCACCCGCGTCCAAGTTCCACCTTCAGATCGTCAGCTTCGCCCTCGACCCGGCTTGACTTCATAACGAGGGGGGGGTGTTGCATGCTACACCTGCACACGGGCCCCATTTGAGGGGCCCTGCGGTTGCTGAGGGCCCCCCCCAGGCCGCTTACCATACAGCACGCGGCGTGGAGGCCCACGGCGGCCCTTCAAGCCCTAGGTAGCACACTAGTTAGAATAGGTTTAGTTTACTTACCTTTCTGTGTGTGTGTGCTGTCTTACTTTGTCTGTCAGGTGCTGTTTCGGAATTGCAGCCCCAAGGCCGGACCTTGGGACTGGGTACACCGGAGGCAGGCCCGAAACGAGGCCAGGCGCATTTTGGTGCCAAACCAGTAGGTACAGGCGTCGTCTCGGTCCTGCAGGTCCCAAGGCGACGCCTTGGGCTATGTGCACAGGTACCGGGCCGTTTTTAGGCCAGGCGCATTTCTGCGCCTTGCTGCATCAGCAGCGTGGTCTGGACGTCCGGTAGGGACCCAGGCCAGCTGGGTCATTTTCTGAGGCCAGCATCAGGTAGGCCCAGCCGGCCCAGCACTACAAATAGCTGGGCAGCGGCTGGGCAGGGACAGTACGAGTAGCTCACTTCTGGAGCGACATGCTGCCGGTTGAAGCAGCGCTATTCTGCGTCAAGCTACGAAGTAGGGAGTAGCGGAGTAGGTAGTGGAGAGAGGCGGAGGCCTTACCTGCAAGCGGCGAACTTACCTGGCGCCATAGCTGGGCTCTGCGCGGTACCTGCACACGACAATGACCATAGTCAGTACGGTGACAGCTACCTGCAGGTGAGATAGCAAGGAGGACGTCATTTCTTCTTCTTCCTCCTCCATCTCTCTCTCTCTCCTTTCTCCCTCTTCCTCCTCTTTCTTACTTATTCTTCATCTACGAGAGTGAGAGATGTTATCGGTTGGAGAAACAGGCAGAGGTTATGTTGGGCACATTGCCCAGGATTTGATTCAACATTTTTGGGACAGACATTGATTGGACACTCGGCAAGGGACTATTTTTGGGACTTCGCTATCGCGATCTTGGTCTACTCCCTCACCTCCTTCTCCTTCGTCTCGTCCCTCCCCCCACATCTCTCATCCGTGGCATCTCCCCATGTGGGTGTGTGAAGGAGGGACCTTTCTTCTGTGATTGCGGTCCCTCCTCCCCTCTCACATGTGTGATGTATGATGGATGTCGGGTCAGTCCAGATCAGATCAGATCTTCTCTTTAAAGATTT